GATGAGTGATAGCGTTGCCACCACAGGTTGCTACGCATATCGTGATATAACTGTAGAAGGCGCGCGATATTTGTTATGAGGTCCACCCTCATAACCAAGGAGCAACATCGCAAAAGCTGATTTACCGTTATCGTTACCGTTACAGCCTACTAAAATCCACTGCTGACCATAGGCCTCCCCAATAAGTTATCTCATAGGGCGGATATTTTCCATAGTTGCCAGGCTTGGCAATTTATTTTTTTATTTTTAGCCGTTATTAGGAAGACCCCGCTGCCCATCTCCTGATTTGTCTCCCTCTGACACCTCTCACGACGCCCACGGAATGATATGGGGTAGTGGATATTTTTACACCGCCGCTGTACAAAAGCTAACTTAACGAAACCTTTTTCTAACGAATTTAACAAGTTAGTACACGAGATCCATTCGCAACGCAATTATTTTGTTTAACTCGTGTATATTACTTTATTGTAGAAATCGTGACCCTCTTGAGATGTACTATGTTTTTTAATTTAACTGAAAATGACAAACGAGCTGAAATTCCACCTTATGTTATATTACGTTAGTGACTACTGCAGCCAATTGACGCCTGTAACCAACTTCAATTCAACTTCAATTAAAAAATAGTACTACCTTAAGAAGTGCTTAGTAAACTACATATATTTTAGAATCTATTATAGACGCAATAACTTTAACGGAAATCCCCCATAAGTATGCAGTTTTCTTAACATCAACACGAGCTCAGAAACCTTCGACAAATCTAAATAGCAGAGTCACAGACACTAGTGTATGCACTATGCATACTGTTCTCTTTCTTATGGTGCAGTACTGGACAGTCCGCTTGAGGCACAAAATAGCACTATCGGTAGAAAGGCCACGTCTGAAGTCGAACTGTGTGTCATTATTAGTATAGTATAATTATTTCATTCGTGGTAGAGCCCTGCTGCAGCTATATTAGTATAGTTGTAGCACGAATGGGTCGGCTCGAACGGGGAAGGACCACGCTCATACAGAATAACAGCGTAAAATAGCAGCTTAACAGTGCTGTGTTCCGTATGGTGAGTGTAGAGAACCGGAGACCCTTTTTACTGGAAAAGAGGCATTCCATCTTAGTCCTCATGGGTGACGACGCATCTGCATTTTGATTCTTTATTGAGGATAAATGTAGATGTTTATGGGTCACTGCCACCACTTACCATCAGGTGGACTGTGTGCTCGTTTGTCACCCTATTCCTATAAAAAAAAAATGAAATGTCTTTTATAATCAACTATATTGCCAGTTAATAAAGATGATTAATTTTGTACTTATTTATCAACTAGCAAATCTCCCGAGATTCCAAATACATATACTCGTAGATTGAAACTAAGCTGTAAGCTGTGTAGTTTGGTTATTTTTTGATCTAGGTCATTCGCCAGCAAATACATCCCACTAGATTTATTTCCACTTTTACTGCAATGGCAATGGTCCAATATTGCAATCTACCTCTATGTTTCAAAAGCGAGACACATTTTTCAAAAAGCACTTCCTCGTTATGCTTGTCTCCTCTCCTGTCTTTTTGAATTTTTTAACGACTCGTAATAAGCAAGTTTGTTGCGTTTTTATCCATTATGCTACTCAAACTTCACTGAAACGTAAAAAAAAATATTTATAGATTTCTTTTATCTCGAAAAAAAATATTTTTGAAATTAATATCAATAATGTATTTTCCCCTACCTTCAAATATTACCTTTTTAAATATTGACTAAAAATAGATTTATAAATCCCATAGTAATAATGTCATAATGGCTGATTTAAGAGTGGTCAAAACAATAAGAAATTAAAAAGAAAAAATATTTAAAGTCAGAGTAATAAAGAAAACCATATTTGTCAAATCATTTTGTATTATCTTTGCAACTTACGGTAATTATAGCCATATCAGGCAATCTCTGGGGGAGGCATATGTTCGTTCAGCCATGGACTTTTAAAGGCTCTAATGGGTGGATGGATAGTAATAAATAAATGCAACTTTTAACCAAGAGTCTTTTAGGGTATATTTTGGTAGTGACTTAATTTTATTAATTATAGAATTCCAAGCATGTGACAGCAACCAGCCATCTTTTTTATTGAAATTAGAATGTTTTTTTTTTATTACAATAGCCCCCTAGAACCAGTAGGAATCGATGTTCTTTTGCGAGTATTTGTGGTCCATCAAATCTGTTCATCAAAAAAAAACCTTTTCACAGGCTTCAGACTTCTAAGGTCAGGTCCAGGCGAGTGTAACGTGTAATGTAATCCACCGTGTAATGTAAATTCGGCTCTTCACGTTGGCCAACATACTGGCGAATGTGTTGGCCAACAACGATGGCCATCGTGTAGAGCGGGTGTTTAAGCTACGTTGGTACGTATTGGAACGATGGCCCACAAGTTGGCGCCAGATCTGTCTGGTGTCGGTTTTTTACAAAAGATCAAAGGGTTGTGGCAGAGTATTGGCCGCCGCGTCCACACGTTGGGCGCACGTTCAGTTTGCTACGAGCTCCCAGAGAGATTACACGCACCTGATTTAAATTTTATATGCACGCATCATAACTAGTGTCTACGTAACGGCAGTAACAATGACCAATGAAAAAACTTTTCGCTTTATAGAGCCCTACCAAGCCGAAAATTGTTTGTGTCTTTTAAAAAAGAATATTACCCCCACACTAGGATTTTCTCCTGTATCGTGGAGGCGGTTTAGAAACATAAATTGCATAAGGACAAACATCCAGACCCGGAGAAATTATGTGCAGGCTATACAAATACTTGTTCCGTGCGGGATTCGAAACCCAGGGCAGCAACTCATTGCTAAGCCACTACGCCACGGAGCCGTCAAGAAATATAATTTCTTTTTTTCCATTTCTTTTTGATCACCCTTTTCTTATACACATTCACGTTGTAGTGATTGATGTATTAATTTATTTATTGATGTATTAATTGATTTATTGATGTATTAATGCTATGAGACTAGGTAGGATACTAAAATCATGTTTTTACTGTCTTTATTATTCCCTATTAGTTACTTTATTTCGTTAATAATACTGTAATTTTTAGCTACGGAAGAGCGAAGTCACCTGTTACAGGCATTATTTTGCTTACTAGGTGACCTTGATCACTGATCGTATAATGTAACTTTATTGTTTGAGGAAATAAATTATTTATTATTATTATTAAGTTTTATTCTATAATTATATAATAACCCTTTTTAAAAAGGTTTCGTTTAATAAAATTTTACAACAGTTTCATAGACAGGTTTCGAATATTTTCCAGGCCTTAGTTGTAAAAGTGTTAATTATACATATGCCTAGGTGTGTTAATGTTTATATAGTTTACTTATCTGTATAACGTTAGTGTATAATAAAGAAATATTAAAAATTTATATTAAAAATATTAAATATTAAAAATAGTGAAAATTAAATGAAATAGTGGTATGCTGTGAATAAATAAACCGTAGCAGCCGTAAGCGCTTCAATAATAATTTTAATAAATTCGTCCGCACATTGGCCTGAACCGAAGCAAACTGAACGACCTTCCAACGTGTGGACGCGATCACAAATTCTTGGCCAATATCTTTGCCAACACATTCGCCACTATGTTGGCCAACGTGAAGAGCCGCCATAACACGAATTCTACGTGTGGACGGCACTACGAGCATTACATGTAACGCTCGCGCGGCGCTCGGGGTTGATCCATCGGCTGTCGGTTTTTCGCGCAAACACAAAGGCGCTCGTGTACGTTCATGATGTGGAGTGACGAACAATCGCTTGAACTTATTAGTTTGTATCAAGAAAACCCTGTTATTTGGGATCAAAAAACCCGCATTACTTTAAAAAAAATATGAAAAACGATGCTTAGAGTGATATTGCTCATTCATTGGGAAGAGATGTGGAAGAATGTAAAAACAAAATGATTAGTTTGCTTGCTTCACATTGAAGAGAAAAAGGAAAAGTAAAGAAGAGTCATAGTTCCGGAAAAGGTATGTTTTATTATAAATTTCTGTTGCTTTACATATTATATACTTTTATTTATTAATTTAATTGTTACTTATTAGGTATTATCACTTACTTGCTATTAGTACAATTATTACTTCTACTGTATGATCTTCCGTCCTTGTCTTTTTAAAACTGTTGTTTTATTTCTTGTAATTTATTTTACAGGTGGGGATGAAACGTACAAAAGTACATGGTTTGCTTACGAGGCGTTGGCATTTTTAGGAGATCGAAAAAAAGACGCAACACAGAGGTAACTGCATTGAACTAGTTTCCTTCGACTTGATAAAAAAACTTAACAATATGTATTCTGCCAAGAAACTGTATCCTCGTTCATAAAATAGTCATTAAACTCATCTCTAATTTGTTTTGCTATTAAGGCAGCCCTTCTAGGTACATTATTCAATGGAAGTAAAAATGACATTTCAGTATCTCTCCGCCAACTACCTTCACATAATCTTCTGTTTTGTTCACTGTCAAGTGATCCAGGGGGTGCATACAAGTTTTTAGATGAATCCGTGTTTTTCAAAAAATTATGCAAGTATGCAATAGTCATGACTATAGTCTCCACGGTTTCGGGCTGAAGAAGCATAGGTTTTCGTAAAACTCTGAACAGATGCTGTGATACCAAATAAATTTTCTACAATCCTGCGAGCTCTACTTAAGCGGTAATTAAAAATTCTTCGTGGCGATCCCTTGGGGTATTCTCCTGGATAGGGTTTCATTATATTGTTTTGTAAAGGGAAGGCAGAGTATCCTACAAAAACATATGGTACTACTTTGTTTCTACCTTGCAGTGCTTCAGATGCAGGCAATCTTAACGAATTATTTTCTAGTTTTCTATATAATTCAGTTTCCTTAAAAATTCCACCATCTGAAATTCGGCCTTGACATCCGACATCCAGAAATTTATAATTATATTCCGCGTCTACTAAAGCAAACATCACTATACTGTAATTCGATTTGTAGTTACGATATTCTGTGCTACTATGTACCGGACACTATGTATATGCCTCAAGAATGACATGTTTACCGTCCATGGCTCCAGCACAATGGGGAAAATTACACAATTCATCAAATCTGTTTGAGATCTGGATCCATTCTGACTCTGTTGTTGGCATCTGAAACAGTAAATTTCTTTTTTATTACAGATTACAAATGAACCGGAACAGAGAGCATCTACAATCGCAGAAAATGATAACAGTTAAGAATTTATATCACCAACTGGTCAGGCCCCAAAAAAAAAGAAATCAGACGAAAATAAAAAAATGGGTTTGCTTTCGGAGGCTCTTGGCCTGCTTAAGAGTGCTGCTTCTAGTCCTACTCCTGAACCCCGAAACAATAATACAAATAATTTTGACAATGAAAGCCTTTTCTTTTCAAATTTTATATGCAGCAAGATGCAACAATATAACAGAAGTACTAAAAATGCCGTGCAGCGAGCAATAATGGACATAATATTCAAAGCCGATGAAGGATGCACTAACTTTTATCAACATTATAATCCATCGGCATTCAATTCTCAATTCAATTACAGTGGGTATATAACAGGCTCGGTTCCTTCATCAAGACACTGCAATGAACCACCTTCTTTATCTAATCGCTGAGAACCATATACTTCAGGGTATTCAACAGGTCAGAATCAGACAAGTTACCATACAGCTCCATATGCTTCACCTGTTCCCTCAGAATCATCCCAAACTTCATATGAAGATGCAGATTTTGTGAATGACCTAATTTGAAAAAAAAAATTGTACTACATAATTGGAAGATGCAGACTATGTCGACAATTTGATTTAACTTTCTAACTGTAATTTTGGAATAATTTTAATTTTGCTTACCCTACTTAATACAATACCTTAATTTGTTATTTTAATAAATAAATAAAAATATGTAAAACTCACCTTAATGTTTTCTTTCAATGCTTCTATAATCGCTTCACAAACTTCTGGTACAATACAAGACATTGACTGTTTTGAAATTCTGAAGGTGTATTGAAGGCTTGTATATGAATCTCCTGTTGCCAAAAATCTTAGTGTTAGAGCCACTCTATCTTGCGGCGAAATTGCAGATCTCATTATAGTCTCTTGTCTTGATATTTTAGGCGCAATGATTGTTAACAAATATTCGAAGTCAGTAGGCGACATCCGGGTAAAATTTTTATATTGACCACTTATATGCTGAGATTTTAGTTCCACAAGTAAAGAAGATCTTCTTTTATACAATTTAGTTTTCCATCATCGACGCTTTCGACGTTTCCGGTCTTCAGTTAGTAAATCATGAAAATAAAAGCCGCACCAGCTATCACGACCTTCAGTGGAAGTGGAAACAGCTTTTGAAATAGTTTCGCGTACACAATTCGCTTTGAGTTCGTGTGCCGTCCACACTGTTGACGCTAAATTACACGTAATCTTACATTACACGTTACACTCGTCTGGACCCGGCATAAGAGCATAGTCTGTGAACCACCGTGTACGCTGCATGCACGTGTTTCCGTTTTTCTATAAAAATAAAAATTATGTTAGCTAGCTAAATATTTAAAAAGATACATATAACTATGTGAAAATACACTTTAGGTATTTACTTTTAAAGCGATAAAAACTTGTATTTCAGTCACCTGAGCATATATATATAGCCTACATTCGTTTAGAAATGGATCACCAAATCGCTAGTTACAAAACATTACTCAATTGCCGATCAAACAACAGTTAAGGTTAAAACAGTTCGCATAAAATTGCCGAGCTCCACTCTAAATAATGTGACACATAAAGCTTTTTATTTTCGAAATATTTTACTCCGACATGCTCTACTAAATATAACAAACAATATTTGTTTTTTTAACCTCTCATACATGCATCGAGAACTATAGTATAGGCACTTTAATATATTTATTGCGTAATATTATGTGTCATTTTTATTTTTTAAACAACTTTCACTAATATTATAACATGAGCATTACAGTGTTGCATAATTTTTAACACGTGGTATAGCCATGCTGCAGCTATAGTAATAGTATATTTGTAGCACGAAGGAGTCGGCTCAACCGGAGAAGGACCACGCTCTAACATAATACCAGCAGCTTAACACTGCTGTGTTTCGTATGGTGAGTGTAGAGAACTGAAGACCCTTTTTACTGGAAAAGAGGCATTCCATCTTAGCCCCCACGGGTGACGCATCTGGATTTTGATTCGCAAACGAGGATAGATGTAGATGTCTATGGGCCACAGCAATCACTTAACATCAGATGGGCTGTGTGCTCGTTTGTCATCCTATCCTATAAAAAAATGAAATGTGATGCATTTTAAGTAAACATGCAAATAAAATCATAGTTAAAGTTAAATAAGAACGTTAAATCTACAAATATTATTTAAGACCTCAACTGAAGTAGCGGCTGTCATTTTGATAATTTACAGCTAGGGCTATTAAATTTGACAGGAATTTATTTTTGATCTAAGATTAATTACATGCATAATATATAGAGAGTCTACAATTATGCATAAAGGGAGTCAATATATTTATCTCACTTTTTCTAACTTAATTTAAATAAGGCAAAAGGATATAAAGGTATTCAAAGATGTTGCATGCATAGACTTAGAATATACTGGCGTACAGACGACCTGACAGCCCGAAAACGTGTGACTAATTTTGATTTGTTTTGTGTGGTAATGTACATTATACTTATACGAACTATCGAAAAATGATTGTTAAGGATGTGGTCAAAAGATTAAAAAAATAGTTTAGTGCACGAAATTGAATAACTTTAAAAATAAACTGAATTATTAACATGATACTTCTAAAATAACTACCTGCCTTTTGTTGGAATTTAATTGAAATGTAAAAAAGTCCCAGGTAATTCTACCGACTCCCGAAGAATCAGATCGGAAAGTTGTATTTTCGAGTCTATAGAGTCTATATTAGAGTATGATCTTTAGAGAAAAATATTTACTGCCTTGAACAGTTTTCCCTCAATTTATTTTTTAACATATTGTTAATATAAATAGGTAGATAATTAACTATGTATATACCTATTTATATTTTATAAAATGTTTTGACGGGGAAATAAAACCCGACACGGAGTACATAATAGCTGCTTTATTTTTCATATAAGCATTACTTTTAATAATTACAAACATTTAATCATTAATAATTAAATACATTATAGAAGTTTATTTAACATTCGTCTTAAATATGAATTTAAACTTAATAATTTAAGTAAGGAAAATTGTAGAAATCAGTAAAATAAGACTGCTCTGTTTAAAGGCCAATATGATTATGAGGCTTCATCATGCTTCATGCATACTTTTTCTTTTTCACTTCCCAAGTAGGTAAATGTTTGTTGCAAATTGTTGAGTTTTTATTTGGATTCCAAACAACCCGTCCAATTAACCTTAACCATTTTTTCTAATTATAGAATCCGGAGGGAATTTGTTTGACAGACGGCAAAATAAAATTACATTTATAGAACGCAAACCGAGAATTTATTTTCTTGTTGTATAGGCAAGTCTATTGATTCATTATAAACATCCAAGATAAATATCGACATTAATTTTGATATAGTTGAGTCAATCCCTAGCGTAAATGTAAAATATTTTGTATAAAAACGTATTTACCGAATTCATGCAAATTATCAACAACGTGATTTTTTTCTTCGCAAAATATCAAAATTAACAAAATAATTGAAAAAATTATATATTTTAAACAGTATATAACATAAATTTTAACCAAAAATATACGCGTCATAACTTTGACGACGTTTTCAGAATTTATCTGTGAAATGTGCAATTATCAGGATTATTACTATTATTAACTCCACAGACACTCTTAGAACAAGTGACCATCTTGGAAAAAATAACCACTATTACTATATCTAGGAGCTTATTTCTTGCGTGCCAACTTGTGCCGACCTGTCATTTAAAATTGGTTACAGAATCATGAGATTTGGTATCCTTTTCTACCTTGCATTTTTGCCATAAGGAATTTACTTCTCCCTGGCACACTATGTTGGTCTATACGCCAGTATATTTTAAGTCTATGGTTGCATGTAATTCAAATTTAGTTTAACAAAATTAGTTTAGCACACGAAACGGAATAACTTCAAATTACCAAATATTTTAACCATGATAGTTCCAAAACCAATAATCATATTGTTACGGCCTACGGCTGCTCCCTTAAAGGGTCCAATCCTCTGGGGCCCGTGAGCAGAAGACTTCCCGAGCAGACGTAGGTCGGGCCTCAATGTGGCCACGTGGAAATTCCTAATTTCAATAAACCAGATGGGAGGACGCTAGAAAGACATAGTACTTACCATTATCCGAAGCTAACTTCGCACCAAGGCTTGGGCAGGCCGTGAGTGTGTGTAATAGTGGATGGAGAGTAGTGTACAGTGAGGGGTGAATGTGTGGGGCCTTGTCAAGCATAGGCGACCAGCCGCTGCCGAGTTCCAGGCTGCTCCAAAATGCTGCAACACTGCTTCAGACTGCTTCGGCGCCGGACCACAGTCACTTTCCTCGTTCGTCACGATGACAGTCAATTAACTCTATCGTACGATTTACTAACTTGCAGAAGCCACTAACTATCGCAGGTTGTAAGGTTAACGCACAAAACGCACACGGAGTTTACAGTTTATTAAAGGTCACCACCGTTTCGCGTCGCAACAGTTAGTTCTAGAATATCAGAGGCCGCACTAGCTAATATTGCCTAATGCACTTATGCAGATTCTGAGTCAAACACAATGAGTCCCTGGGAAGCTCTCCAGCAGGAATGCGCGTCACAATGGTAGACCATATATTTACTGGCCACGCCGAATTATTCCGAGTTCCCGACAAAATGACAGAGTGCCAATCGTGAGCACTGCCTAAGGACGACTGACTGCCCTTGGGCGTTTTACGCACGACCGAATGTCAAACCGGTATGACACTGAGCCGCGCGCCCTCTCGCGTTCGTTCTCGAAATTAGCGTTTAGCGCGAACACATATCTTTTATTAATTTATTTAAAAAAAAACATGGTATCAGGAATAAGCTATACCTGTCTACCATCCATACTATTTAGACGATTGGTGTACCACTGTGCGATTTAGAAGAAGTTTTCTTCCTCGCACAACTTCCTTGTGATATCGACTACCACCAGAGATTTCCGGACCGATTCGACTAGGCCGGCAACGCATCTGCAATTTCTCTGGTGTTGCAGTTGTTTATGGGCGGTGGTAGTCACTTGCCTTCAGGTGAGCCGCATGCTCGTTTCCCCCTCTGTTATAATATATATACCCGCCAGACCCAATGAATTTGTTAATTGCAATTTTAAGTACTAATTCACCACATGCTCGGAGGTGAAGGGAAATATCGTGAGGAAACCTGCATCTCAGCAAAATAAGAAAAAATATTTCGAAAACATGTGAAGTTCGCCAACAAGCATTGGGGCAGCATGGCGGATATTTCCTTGCCCTAAAGAAATGAATATTTCTTCCTTTTAAATATTTATATGTATACTGTAACTATTAGTAAATGAAACCCCATAACTAGTCTTATATATATATATATATATATATATATATATATATATATATATATATATATATATATATATAAATATTAAAGATAAATATCGACATTGGTTTCGATATAACTGAGTCAATCCCTAGCGTACATGCAAAATATTGTGCTAAAAATATATTCACCAATTTCATGCAAATTATCAACAACGTGACTTTTTCTTAGCAAAATATCGAAATTAACAAAATAATTGAAAATATTTTATATATAATAAATACAATAATACGTAACAAAAATTTTAACCTAAAATAAACGCGTCATAGCAGTGAGGACGTCTTGAGAATTTAGCAATGAAATTTGTATAGTAATAATTATTAGGATTCTTTCTATTATTGATACCGCTGTCACTCACTGACCAATTAACCATTGTTGATTGTTCTGTGGGTGACTCAAAAAAATACAAACCACCTAGGAACTCAATTCTTGCGTGCCGACTTTTTGCGACCTGTCCTTTTCTATCTTGCTAAATTTCCATAAGAAATTTTCTTCTCTCTAGTAGACTATGGCCGTCTATTACTATCATAAACTTATGATAATAATAGATGGGCATAGAATAAGACCGTATCTATTCGTCCAAGATCGTACTTGCTTATTTATT